ACGAAGCTGCTGCTGACTCAAGCTTCTATCACATGCTGGGCTTATTCATTCCACCCATTCATTCTCCCAGTCATTCATGCATTCATTTTTCCATTTGCTTGATTGAATGAGTCAAGCATTCTCTTCACACGAATGGAAGGACTAAAGCTACCCCAGAATTTATGGTGGAGAGGGGCCATGCGGACATACAGCCTCAGAACACCAATGAAGAGACACTAGATAGAATTGATCTTGGTCACGTGGAAAAGTCAGGAAAGAAAGTAATGGGTGAGGGAGTGCAGAGCCAGAGAGAAAAATGATACACATCCCTGGCACTGTGTTTTTCTAATGGCTTCCTCTTCAAAATGAGGGTGAGAACAGAGCCTAGCGATGGCCCCATAGAAAAACAAACAAATAAAAACCTGTAACTTCTTACAGCCAAGGCTGCTAGTGACAGAAACACATCTCAAACAAAAGGGTTAGTCTTTAAAAATCGGGGAACTTACTGGATCCCGTAATTGAGCAGAGCAGAAATAGAGTAAGCAATGGGTTTTCAGGCACTGCTGGATCTAGGTGCTTAAATTGTAGCACTAGCAATCTGCCTTTCTCCAATAGGAGGAGACCATGGGAGCTGTTACTTTTTGTTTTGTTTTGGTTTTAGGAGACAGGGTTCCCCAGTAGCTATGAAGCCTGGAACTTGATCTGTAGGCCTCAAACTCTCTGTGACATTTTTTTTTTAAAGATCTAAAAGTGTGTTGGAGATTTTCCTGTATGTTTGATTTCGAATCTAAGAAAGAGAAAAGGAGTAGGAAGGCAGAATGAGAGAGCGGGATGGGGCCTCCCCCCCCCAGTACCTTGACTGTCCTTCCGTTGTACTGACATCCACCCCCACTGACCTCTGTCTGATCCCTTCTTGTCATTCCTGCCCCAGTTTTCCCTCCTGCCTCGATTACCTGTTTCCTATTTTTCCTTACTGGATGAGAGGTGACCTGGGGAAAAGATTGGGAAAAGAATCCCATGATTTGAGTTGGTTTTGTTGTTGTTGTGTTTTGTTTTTAGACAGGCTAGCAATTTGTAGCCCTGGCTGGCCTGTAATTCTATATGTAGAGTGTGATGGCCTTGAACTCAGATATCTGCCTGCCTCTGCTGCCCAAGCAGTGGGATCAAAGGCGTGCACCATCGCTCCTTGCAGCCTGGGTGGTTAAGAACCGTCACTGGGTTGTGGAGGGGCTACACTGAGGAAACAAACACTAGGGTGAGGTTAAAGAAAGCAGATCAAGAACAGCACTGCCTTGTCTCAGGACAAAGCCCACGGTGTCAGCTATTGGGATGGGGAAAGTAGTGCTGAGTGGACTTGGTGTGGTTTAGATGCAAATGTGGGAGACAGGTGCTGTGATAACATGGAGTTTCTGTTCTGAGCTGAGAGACAGAGATGCAAGTTTGGAGTGAAATAGTTTGGCTTGGACATGTTCGATGGGAGAAGCTTAAAGGACATCTGGCCCATGGTGTCCAGTGTAGGGTAGGACACAGTTGGGTTCCCAGGATCTCACCAAGACTGGACCTTTGGAAAACCTAGGCTCCTGCATTACAACCTCATAAGCATGA